GGAGCGCTGAAAATAAACTATACAACCTACTTTTCCAACGTGTCCTTCCTTACAATACTTTATTATCCCCATACGTATAATCTGCTGATTTAAACCAGAACTATTCGGAAATTAAGTAATATCACTTAGGGTATGGAATGCTGCCGGTGAAATAAAGAAAAATAACCGGAAATGTTTGCATTTTTTTCTATTATTCCCCCATTCATTTCCAACTTCGTATCCCCAGAGTGTACATTATGAACAATCTTCTAACTAAAATGTAATGATCATGTGATCAATAAGTGGTCACAAATGACTTCAAAGTGTTTCATTTACTTTGTTCAATTCCCACATCATATAAATAGATGGATTTAGAATCTCGTGAGATTACCTACATCCAGAAATACTTCTGGAATCATTTTCTATTAGAATATGCAACCCACAGAAATGATAGTGGTTTGCCCCATGAGACGATTACACATTACAATATTTCTTTTCAAAGAATTCCCGTATTCTTTAATATTTGTTATCTATCAACACAATTTTCGATCAATTTACTTCACTATTGGTTTTGGGCAATGGTATACTGAGAGAAAACTAATTTTGATGTAATGAAATTGTAAGAATTATGATATAATCAGAAAATAGTTTTCAATTTTTGATTTACTTTTGATAGCAAAATAATAGTTGTATTATATGCTGTAATTTGAAATTGTTTCTTGAAACTTTTAAAACACAAGAATTGTCTATAGTTAGAGAAATCACGAGTATTTTAGAATTATTTAAGACCTTTTACCAGGGAAATAATAATATAATTAGCAGGGCTCAAAACTGACAGTAGTACGTTGGTCTGAAATCATTAAAATATGATTCGGACCCAGATAAGATAATTATTACTGGTCCCCCAAACCAACAATCGATGTAAAGTGATGGTATGCTGTTCAGGTTTTTTATATTTTCGGTTTTACCTTCTGGTCATAAAATAGCATATTTTATAATAATCGTAACTTTATACATATTCTTTGTATTGTAATTTTTTCTTTAAATTCTTTTTGTAATTTTTATTTTGAAAAAATCTAATAGAGAAATATAAACGAACCGGTTAAAAATTAATGCAGACTAATAATTTCTTTAAATTACTGGGTCTTTCGGACCTGTGGCTAAATTTTCTCGATTTCTACCCCATATTAGTATTTTTGGATGAGAAATTTAATATCATTAGTCTTATATTTAAATTATCACAAAGTAGTTTAGTTTTTTACTTAAATGTTAAAATAATATCTAATAATAGTGAAATTATAATATAATTAGCAGGGCTCAAAACTGATAGTAGTACGTTGGTCTAAGACTACTAAAATTTGTTTCGAACCCAGATAAAATAATTATTACTGGTCCTCCGACCTAGCATTCGATGTAAAGTGATGGTATGCTGTTCCGATTTTTTAATTTATGGTTTTATCTTTTGGTCATTAAATAGCATATTTCAACATAATTGTATACATTCCTTATATTTTATTAAGTTTAATAACCGTCGTTGAACAGCAGACTCAATTTTGGGTTTACGACTACCAATATTCAACTCCGTAACCTTGTAATTTTGAGCCAAATCCAGAAGACATTGGAACTCCTGGATCAAGTAATGGGAAAAATTTGCCTTCGAGGAGGACTTTTTGATGAAACTAACCAGCAGCGTTTCATGGAGAGGAAAATCACGAAAACCTCCCATGGTTAGCCTGACGACAAAAGATCTCTAACCCATGATCCGTATACCACTGAGGATATTTTGCATCAGCACTGTGGTCGGTGGGAGCCGGGTGCGGAATTCGTATCGACCAGCCTTCGCTGGGATTCGAACCCGGTTTACCGCACTGGTGAGGTGAACGCTCAATCCCCTGAGCCATCATGGCTTACACATTCGTTGTATAGCAATTTTTTCTTTAAATTCCCTGTATAATTTTTATTTAAAAAATCTAATTGAGAGATATAAACGGACCAGTTAAAAATTAATTCAGACTAATGATTTCTTTAAGTTATTAGGTCCTTTGGATCAGTGGTCCATTTGGTTTATTTATGGTTACTTAAGACTGTTTGCATTAAAATAGGTAATGTATCGTTTTTATTAAGAATCTTATTGTTGAAATCACTACAAAAATGTATTAATCTCATTCATACCCTGATCAGGAAAGAATAAATATCAGAAAATGATTTAGTTAGATAATTGATAACACTTTTGCTGATAAGCTTCATATATAATTATCTGAAGCTGATGAAATTTATAGAATATTCTAATAAACTTTTATCAACTTTCATTTTTAAATAATAATAGGTAATGTCGAAGAGCACACGTGCTCTTTGCTTATAAATGTTATTCAAGATAGTTTTGTTAATCAGATAAAAATGAGCCTTAAATTTCGTTCAAAAGAACACAATGAAGCAGGGGAAAAATTGATCATGATAAAACGGTTTATTTTCATTCAAATTAGAGGATTACTGAGTCTTATTTAAATTTAAAGTAATTTTTTTTCATTTGAAAGGAAACAAATTTGGAATGACTTTAAAATACATATTTTTGAACAAATTTTTTTTCTGATCACGCAAAACTAGTGCAATAATACAGCTAGATGTAATGAGCTGAGTTTACTTTAAACATTATCTGTGAGTTTTTAACAAAAAAAAAAAAAAAAAAAAGANTAGTATCTACACAAAAAAAAAAAAAAAAAACAAAAAAAAAATACCCACAAATTGGTGATGCTATAATTTTTCCCTCCATGGTAACATGTACCCCGTTTCATTTTTAAATTATTCGATTCCAAAACAAAAACAAGAACATGAGTGATTTAGAACATGAACAACATGATATAGTAAATTAGTTAATGCAATGAAATGAGTCCCGCAGTGACACGGTTCCCAACAGATCACCGAAGTTAGCATCACTGGCTGCGTTCAGTGTGCAGGTGGGTGACCACTTGGATCAGTCTGCGTATGGACCGAGGATGTGCGTTATTGGTCCTCTTTAAACTGTTCTACCGTAAAGTGCTCGACTTCGCATGCAGGTCGTCGGGTTACCGAAGCGGGGGTGCCATCCCCTCTGCAGACTATCAAAATTGTGATGGCATGTCTTCGGCTCATCCTCAGGCATGTTTCCCAGACCGTCGCCAATAGCCCATTGTGCAGCTCTAGTGCGACGTAAATGAACTACTGCTACAGCAACTACTACAGCAATGAAATGAGTTTACTTTAAACATTGTTGAGAGTTTTTAACAAAAAATATATGCAAATTGATGATGTCGAATTTTTTTCCCTCCATCGTAACTTGTACCGTGGTTTATCTTTAAATTATTCGTTTCCAAATCAAAAACAAGAACAGGGTGACGCGTTGGGCAAAGGAATACGAGTATGTGCTCTTGGGCAATACGCTCCCTTCTATCGGAAAAAAAGTTTAATGACTTTTTTGTGGAAAAATGAAACACTTTAGACGTGGGGAGGGGCAGAAATAATTGATCCGGAACTTGGGACACTTAAGGGCCAAGTCCAATTTTCTTACAAAAATTTAGTGTTTTTAATTATTTTTTTGAAGGAAAATTGTACAAACAGTACATCTATATAAAAACTACAATTTTGAGTAAGGAGGCAACAAAATATGAAATATCAGAGACTTCCACGAAAATGTTTTCTGGGAGGAACATCCAGGGAAATACTCATTAAAAGTTTTAAGAAAATACGTATAAATATTTTTTTGTATATCCGTAATATATTCCAGCATGTGGGCATCAAAAATTTTATCAAATTTCAGTAATTTAGTTAAAGCTACTAAACAAAAAAATTTTTGACCAAAAATTAATGTTTTTAACAAAATTTAAATTTTGAAGCAGAAAAAAATATAAAAAAATCATTCTTTCATAAATTTTATTTAATAGAAAATTTGAATTAAATAATAATTATTAATAAGAATTAATTAGGTAATAGCTTTTTTAAAGTAGCATAAAAGAAACAGTGAGTTCAGTGTTCTATATTTATTTTCTTGAAAATTTACTTTGATTTACTTTTGAGCCCCCTTCCGGATGCTCATGCCTAATCTGCCGCTGCTGGTCATAATCAGCAAAAAACATGCCCGAATGAACACTTTTATTTTAAGTAATAATTTGAAATATTAAGAATCATTAACAAAGCAGTATTAAGCACGAATAAGCATTGATGAAGTAAATGCAGATCATTATTACTGACAAAGAAGTATTATTATCAGAATTATAAACTATTATTCTATGTGTATGAACTTTCGCATGTTGCTTTAAAACGGCATCCACTCGCATTTGCTTTTACATTGCACTTTCAACTTTGTATTAATAATTTTCTTTAGAACAGCTTTTATGCTAACTTTATTTCATAAATTCTTACATAATTTAATTTAATAAAATGTAGGTCTTATCTAAAATAATGAATTTTCTTTCCTTTTTTTAATTTATCAATGCCGCTAATTTGCTCCCCATTGACGAATTTCGTCAAAATTTGAGGGACGATTAATCGGTATTTTATGTTACTTTTGATTATATCTACATGATAGCCAAGCATGTTAAAGTGAAAAAAATAAAAGAAAAAGGATGCTGCCCTATCGGCATGTCAGGCAATATAAATTTTGATATTGCCTGGCAAACAAATACAAACTAGTATTCAAACTAAAAACTTAAGTTAAGAAGTAAAATACAAAGATTGTTTAAGTATTTATACCTCAATAACTATATCATTAAAACTTATTTGTTATTGAAAATTCTAATAAAAAAAAAACGTGTTACATTTTATCGTGACAGAAAATATTCAAAAGGATAATTCCGGAAAACTTGTCTGAAGTATCGTGTCCTAAAATGTATCAATGAGTTTATTTCCTGTTCTTGAAATAAGATCACCTTTTAGTCACGAAATTTTAATCGGCATTTACTAGACCTTTTCGAATAAAGAAGGGAAAAGTCTATAATATGCTCGTCCAATTGTAACAGCATTTATTCTCCTCCTGTAAATGCCGATAATTCATAAAAACTGGGATTCAGATCATGCACGCGCAATATCATTCGCGGGCACACCTCCACGATTGCGCTTCAACAGTCCATGACTTGTTGCTATGGTAACAGATGCAAGATTGGCCCTTTTCCTGGATCCACTCTAAATAGTTTCCAGAAAATTTTCACATGTTATCATGATTTAGGTAAGTTCCAAGTTTAAGACATTTTTTTTCTTTCAAAAACTAGATTTAAATATTTCTCCCTAATGTATTTATTTCTCATAAACTAAAAATAAGTAATTTTTTATGATAAAAAAATTTGTTTAATGATTTTTTAGTTATTTAAAATGAATTTCTTAGAACACAGATAAAATGTTATAAAAGCCGGTTATATAATCCTTGCTTTCCGTAACTTTTTTCTAAGATAATTTTTTATTGTAATTTTATTAAAATGACTAAATTATTACTTTTTTAAGACTATAGACAAGAAATATTTAATGATAAGAGAAATAAAGGATATAGAACATAAATGGCATTCACCTCATTTAGATTATTGCAACATTATAGTTTATCACAACTAAAGGATTATATTTTTTACTTAAAGTGAAAACAAAATATTAATGTCAATAACCTTCTCACTACTTTGAACTAATTTATATTTTGAAAGCAGTGACTAGCACACCATTTTTGTTTCTTATCTCATCAAACTTCAACCTACCAACAATATTACTGCTAAAAGGATCATGGAGAGAAAGGGTTAAATTGCCTACAACTTTGAATTACAGTGCAATCACGTGAAAAACATAATTCTTACTGTTTGTCTTATACATTTAAACTTTTTACATAATATAATTCAGATTTATAAAGTTAATTCACATATTGGGTAAATTTTGTAAAATAATTTATTGGTAAAATTCTTATCGTTACAAGCTTCCAAATAAAAAATCCAATTTGAAATCTTTGAAAAGTATTCAAATAAAGTTTGAACAATTTAATATGTTATTTTGTTTTTAAAAATGTAAGTCTGAGAAAATACAAATTCTTTGTAATTGTTCAAAGTATATAAAATTTCAGAATAAAAAATGAAAAAAAAAATAGGGAAAGTTTCTATGCTTATCGCAAAATTTTATACTTTGATGAAGGCTATTTTGTGTATCTTCTTTTAGTTTTGTGTATCGCAATTTGGTACTGCAAGAAAATATTTACAACTTCAGACAATTAGTTAGATACGATCTACGTGCATGAGAATTAAAAATACTATCTCTTTCAATGTTCAATATTGAGAATATTAATCACGTGACATATTTGCGACAAACAGTAAATTCTACTTATAAAATTATCAAGAGGGAGTGCGTTTTTTTGTAATGCCAGAGCATATTTTAGAAAACTGGTTTTGTAATTCAGCATGTGCATAATTAAAATATAATATTACCGTAGCATAGTTAAACATAGCATAATTAAAACATAATTTTACAAAAAAATAAATCAGAGTTTTCATTGTAAGGAATATATGTGAATAAATATCTCAGGAACAAAAGAGGACAACTCCACAAGGAGTACAAGAACTTTTAAAACCTTATACTGTGGGAAATGTATAATTATTTGATGAAATCAAACAAATAAAAGATATTATGACAAGTGGGACTAAAAAAATGAAAAACAATGTCCAAAACATACTTCTTCATAACATTAGTAAGAGGCTCAGTTGTCCTTAAATTAAGCTAATTTGCATGACGTTTGATTGTATCATAAAGCCGTATCAAATGACTGAAACAAATACTTTAAATCCCGCTTTTACTAATCAAAAGTATTTTCAGTTAATAGTGTAATTAAATGTTGTATTTACATGTCTTTGTTTAATTTCGTGGTCAATTTATAATTGTAATAAAGATGTATTATTTTTATCTGGTTCTATTTCTGTATGGATCTTACAGTCAAATAATGAGTATCAAATAAATCATAGAACAACATAGAAAAATATATCGGACACTTTTGAAGCAGTTAAAATAGTTCTTTTATACAAACTGAAGATAGTAAGCTTCAGTTTTAATCTTCATAACGCTTTTTTTTACAATTACGGATACATTTTAAAATCATACTTTTTAATATTGATTATTTTGTACGAAACATTGAATTCGTGACGAATAATTACAAGAAACAAATAATAGTGACCAAACTATAGCTATTTTTATAGTTGAGTTATTATTTTTTAGCACTTCCGACTTGCTAATAAATGGTCAAACCAATCATTTGTACTACTTTATAATTGAAATGGTCATACATTGTGGTAACGGTTACCATCAAAGGTTAAACCTAAACCAATCAACTGAGGTCTGATAAATGGGGAAAAATATTTCTACCTTTGATAAGTATTCTCTTTTTGGTTTCTGGAATAGTTCTATTATTCATAGTTCTTGCTTAGTAGGAATGACCAATTGAATTATGAAATTCATTTTTTATATCCATTAGTTATGTAAAGTACAAAATAAATTAAAAGTTTTCGATGCATTTTTGTTTATTTCTTAATACTCTCTCCGATCATTAATTGAAACATGCATTTACATTTCTGAAATATATCTTTGCAACGATGGATTTAAAACATTCTTGGTATTCTCATAAAGCCAAAAACACGGTAAATTTTACCACCTGGTAGTTTTGGCCATACTTTTTTTACCCTTAGTAGTCTTATGATTTATGGATTATTTACTATCACAGTGAAAATAACGTTTACGGAAATTCTGATTAGCGACCTTAAACACAAAATGCATGAGAAACTGAAATTGTAGAAATTTATCTGGGTTACTTCGTTAAATATCCATTAAAATCTATTATCTATTTAAATATAATAAACTCTGATTTCGTTTATATTTTCTGTTTTCTTGCATCTGAAATCTTTTGGTGTTTAATTAAATGTAAATTCAAAATACTTTTATAAACTTTTTTTTCGATCGCAGATTAGAAAATGCTTGTAATGTTTACTTTTATTTTTGAGAAAATTACATATAAAATTATAAAGATACGACTAGAACATTATTTAGTTTCTGGTAATTCATTAAAAATGCTTAAAATTATTGTACCTCTACTGATAAAAAAAACAGGCTTATATTTTAATCAAAAAATTCTTGCATTTGCTGTGTCATTGAGTGAAGTATAACTTTTCGAGTGAATAGATTTGACTTTTGAAAGTTAAACAATTTATAGCCTTCGAATCTCGGTTGAACCTTAATGGTTAGCTCACATGATGGTTCATAGATAAGGTGAAAATCAGTAGGCTAAAGTTGTCTACGTATTGAATGCTTTTGATAAACTTTTATAAATTTCCTGCATTTTTAAAATTTTTTGATCTTGTTTAATTAATAACGTGTAAATTTATTTAAGCAGTATGTTAACAAGTTGAATCATAGTACAAGTTAGTCCTTATAATTACACAACTCTTTGGTTTAAATTGGTTGGACATAGGGTTAAATTTACATCCTCTATTAAAATTGCCACAAAATTGTATATTGAGAGATTCAATAGTATTGTAATAAATTTTCTACTGCACCACTTTTTTTTGTGAGTGTAGAATGAAAACTTTAGAACATAGATATTTTTCAATAACAATTTTTTGAATTTTCAATCTTGATTCGACATCTTAAAAAATTAAATAACTAAGAAGTATACATTTTATGCATGTCTCTTTCAAACTCGTTACTCGTGTTCAATATCAGAAAAATGGTATAAAAGAAAAACAGAATTTATTAAGTTTAAATACTTAGCAATTGATAATTTTAATAAAAAACATCACAATGAAACATTAATTAAATTGTTTTTTAAATATGGGATTTTCATTTTTCGATATTTTAGTTTTAAATAACAATTTGGCAAAATCTAATGCTTTCTAAAAATGAATAGTTTAATTAAAATTTCCTATTTAAAAATTTTATGAAACAAATATCCGTAAAAGATATCAATTACTATTTAAGTGGAAATGCTATATTTAACACACGTATAAAGTACTTGTTCTACATAAATAATACTGACCTACAGGCTCATAAGTCCAGAATATTCAATTAGCTCCATTCTGCGACTCGAAGCACATTTTAATCGTGTCTCTTCATGCATAGAGCAATATATTTTGCAAAAGACCAAATTTTCTATTAACAAATAGCATATTCAATTATTTTCCGTGGTTTCTGTCAAATCAAGCATGATTACTTAGATTGTAATGGCAGCATTTAGATCCTATTGCATTTAATAAGCATTACGCTTTCATTTACCTTTTTGATTGACGACTAGGATGTTCCATAGTATGTCTGAACGCTGCTGTATCAGTAAGTATAACATTAAATTTTAGAATTTATTTTAACTTTTCTATTTCATTCATAGTTTTAATAAACGGCGGCCTTATTTGAATAGCGGGCTAGCTCCTTTAATGCTTTAATGTCTAATAATTGAATTATTTTTCCTATCCTGTTTCGGTTCCCTGTTTCGCAGCAGTAATAAGCTGTTAATAAGCTGGAGGTGTACCAGTAACAAAATAAGATGACTTGTATGAAAGTTAAGTCCAACACCATTGTTTTGTATTTCGTTTTAAAAAAAGTGGAATTGAACCACTACACTGTTCAAATAAGGCAGAATAATATACTATATTTAGGACTCGAAACACAGTTTTATACGTTTATGTAGTTATTAAAATAATTTTCGGTTGCAGTGTTTTATATGTGGCTATTCGTTACTAACAATTATATAAAATAACTGATAGTTTTAGAATGTTTAATAATAAATTGCATATCTATCATATTAGCAAACGACGGTAAACATTTTCTCATTCATTTCAATAAACGTATGCATAATTTAAGAGACAACTAACTTAATAAAAATCAATATCTTTAAAAAAAAGCATTCATCAATTTTCTTTAATATCTCAATTTACTAAAATACCTCATTTTAAAAGGGTTACAAGTCTTTTAAAACAGTAAAAAGTAGACAATTTTCATTCTACATTTTCATTCATTTCATTTCTAATCGATTTTTAAAATTTATATTAAAATCAAATTGTTTTGTGAACGCATTTGGCTATTATGTTAAAACTTATTGTAATTTTGAAACTTCCTTTATTTTTCGAATATTTATTTTTGTTAATTTTTTTTTCTAAAATTTTATGATATCCATAATGATGGCAAAACGAATGCAAGTATACATTAAGTAATATTTTATTTTGA